AAGAGAAAGCGAGGGTCTTCGAAGAGTGCCACTCTGCTCCTTTTTCTGGACACGCCGGTCGCGATAATACTTTTGCACCCTGTGAAGGTTGTTCCTAAGGTGTGGTACTCGGTCGGAATTGATTTAATAGAAGCCCCTACTACATCTCAAAACGGCAACAGATTTGTTCTGTCCCGTAGGTGCAAGAGGCCTCTGTATAAATTGTGTGACAGCCTTTTGTGTGTCAAGTAGCGCTGCGGGGTTAAGTTGTACAGGCCTCAAATGTCATGCATACTATGAATTCAACACCGCAAAACACAGTTTTATTCATGTTTGTGTTTTGATTGTTTTGTTTAGTATTCTTGTTTTTGGCTGTTTGGAATCAGACGATCGCAGCTGCCGGCGATTGCGGCATTTCTCGCTGGTAAACAGTTCTATTAAATAAAATTGAAGCTTTGCAAACAATGAAGCGTTGTACAGCGAAGGGATGTTATGCGGTTGTAAATTTCAGTTTCGTCCCGTTATCAGCCAACGTTTACTGCCTATGGGTTTTTTTTCTGCGCAATAAACCCGGCGAAAAGTGTCAGACCATATAATTCTAACATGCATCTACACTATTCAGCCGTAAATTAGTGATTGACAATCCCGACTTTTCCCCAGTCTGAAATAATTTAGGCAAAGTCGAAGCGATCAGCGTTTTGGGCATCCCCCACCGGGGATGCCCAAAACGCTAGGGGTTTGGGAATGGGGATGCCCAAAACGCGGGGATGCCCAAAACGCTGTGACACCGGACCTGACCGCTAGAAACTAACGGGTGGTTTTATCTTCTAACTAGGGGGGCAATTGGATAAGGTCCTTGGGTCAGTTGAGACAGAGAATGTATTGTACAAGAATGGATTAGCTGTCTGGGCATCGATATTCGCATCATTGATTATGAATGCAAACACGTGTCGGGGTTTTGAGATACCAGTTGAGATTCTAAAATGCCCAGCTCTCTGCCGACTACTATTTGATCTTTCTATATTCTCTCTCAAGTAAGTCCACTTGTGATTTTTAAGATACTGACTCAAATAGGATGTTTGGCCCTCACTGTTAAAGGTTATTCGCGGGACATACAACTGCATCCTGGTGATAACTACTCTGCAATTAGCCGCAGCCTGCCAAATTAGATTACCATCTGACTCAATTTCAAAATTTATTTCAACCCTTGTATTGGGTAACAGCTCATCCTCTAACATTTCAAAGAATGAGTATCTGTTCAGAGATATTTCAGTGTTTACTGTAGATGAGGTACCCAAAAGAGCTTTCCGAAGAGCAAAACCTTTATTGTAAGCTGCTCTTCTTTTGGCAAACTGATTTGTACCACTAACTTCAAATTCCCGCTCTACCGCATTTCTGGATGTATCAAGGAAGAAAAACTCATTACTTGCTCTCTTATCGGCGTATGCCGGACTGTAGTCAAGTAAATTCTTAATATTAACCGCGTGATTGGCATCATTACAATCGTACACTTTCTTGCTATTGAGTTTAATATCAAAATGTTTCAAAAATGAGTACGACCCGTCTACGATACCATTATGATCGTTTACTGCAATATTACCTTCATTAGCCAGTAAGCTCACTTAAGTCGAGACTGATTCGGGCATTATACCAGTCGAATGTTGTAACCTCTCCGCTGTTATCAATAACAAACCTGCAGCTATCCTTTTTCTGGTTGGCATTATTGGCGACAGTTGTATTTAGTGGTGTTTCAAGGTCGAAAATAACATCTTCACATCGTTCAACATATTTTGGATCCCTAAAAGATTTCATATATTAATAGATTAGATAAATCTTCTCATCCGGCCTCCAGACAATAATTGATTTACTCGTTTAATCTCGTATCAGTGAGCTCCTTTTATGGATTTTCTATCTGAGATGCCGTTACTGGTGTTTTTGTGTTTTTATTCTTTTTGCTTAATAACTGAATAATTTTATCGCCCGCTTTTTGGCCAGCATATTCACCAGTCTTAGTAGCAGCTCTCTGATCGGCCTTTTTGGTTGCTGTTTAAGCAGCTTCTTTTACCGTCTTTCCAAAGAACTTTCTGCCGATCGTTTTGAAAATATCTGTAACACCTTCTCCATAAATATGCTTCTTAACATATCTTCCCATTTTGACATCATAACGTTTCTTGAATTCTGATTGTTTCATGTAAATGATTGTTTCATTGCTGGTTTAGATCGTAATATTAAGGTCATAAACCAGTCGATCTTATTTAATCCAATTGGTCGTCCTAGTGAATCTGTGATGTAAAAACCTCATTTGACCGATATTTAGCTGCGAAACTTTATTAAAAAATAGTCTTCTGGGTTCAGATGTGAATTGGAAACTTCTTGTAAAATTGTCGGTTGGAATAACAGCTAAAGTATTGGTATTTTAAAAGTAAGCTAAAGTGTTGGTATTAACACAGACGCCATTACGAACAGCATTTTGAACGGTGTTAAAGCACCGTTCAAAATGCTGTTCGTAGTGGCGTCTGTGTTAATATAGATCATATCAGTGGAATTTGTGATATTGGGAAGAATAGTCCCATATTCTGTTTTATTAACAATCTTTTCTGTGAACCCAATTAACTCACCAAATTTACTGTTTTCCCAGATCCAGTTGGTAATTGTTGTCAATCTGAATGAGAATCTTGCATGTCGATAATACGAATGTTAGATTAATGTGGTATTTGTCACCGGTTTTATCGTCGGTGGTAAGATGGCCCTTCTTTTTCATGTACTGATGGAGATAGTCATTTAGATCTGAGTAAGTATACATTCCATCCACAAAAGTCACGGTTTGCCAGGATGTGCCACCATCAGGTGAGTAGTTTATTTTGTTATTTTGACACTGATCTGAAATATTATGCCAACTGTAACTCATTGTAACCTTATCCAGTGCCAATTCATGTGTCATATCATTTTGGAGTTTTAACACTGGATCGAATTTGATTATGAAGTCTTCTGCTTTATTTTTCCCGATTTTCTGTCTATCAACAGATGAAATATGGATTGCTCTTTCTTGCATTATATAATTAGATTACATTATATACTCCTTTAGCAGACCATTAAGCTGGTTGTTATTTAGAACCCCTAATCTGTTTAGTGTGTGAGCAGTTTTGGAAAATTCATTTTTCACACCATTATTTCCAGCCAGTATTGATCCGCCTAACAATTCCAGTCTATCCAAAAGGTCAGCTGGGTTATTATAATGAACAACCCCAGCGCCGATTTTTTTGTATTTATTACTGGTTCGGTGAATTGGGATATCACTTATTCTGTTCAGGTCGTCAAATACCATTTTTGATAGTGGCGAATATTTCTTTTCAGTATATACTAAAACAGTGGATAGTGTTTTTCGCGCGCTCTGATTGGCTCTGATTCACGACTAGCCACCTCCACTTCAGTGAATAATTGTTATTTACTATTGAACCGCTTTGTGAGCAGATCAAGGGTATCAAAGTCCACTTGCTTTTCATATACTTTCTTACCATCGTTATGAGCAATTAGTTTAAGCTGGCCATAAAGATTGGGCACGTCAATGGTTACATTCCATAAACACCAGTGCTGGGGTTAATCTTATAAGCATTCCTCTTCTTCTGTGTGTAAATACCCTTCCCAACTTTTAACGTTTTTGCGCCTTCCTCTAAAATACCAGTTCTTTGTCTGTATTTTTTTATTATGTTAATTCCTTCAGTATATTCATCCTTATTTTTCTTTCTATTAGTTTTTATTGTGCTTAAATTGGCTTTTTTCCGGCCTAATTCCTTATTTATTTCACCAGATTTAGCTAATATTTGTTTCGCATAATTTGGCTCTTTTAAGGTTTGCAAAAAAATGTCAGCTGGTAATGGCAATTCCTGGTTTTGTATGAATGCCAATTCTTCTTGAGTGAATCCTTTATTCATATCATATCAAATGGGAAAATGTGGGTAAAAGATGGTGTCGAGCTATTAAGACAAAGTAGAGC